AGGACCTGGCTGCGCTTGGAATATCCAATTGGCGAAACGTAAGCGATGTCTAGGCCAATAAAGAAGAAGAAGAAGTTACAGAATAAAGGAAATGAAATTTTTTTTTAAGTCTAAAAAAAGCAAAATTTTGTTTTTTTATTTCCTTCGTTCATAAATGAGATTAATATATGTATTAACGGATTATGTTTAGTTTTTTAATTTTAGATGAACCAATATTAAATTATGCTGTCCGAGTGCACTTTTCTGTGAAGCACCCGGGAGCTGAGGTCTCAGCAGCTAAATTTTCAACATTTTTATATCAAAATTTCAGGAGACATTGTTCAAATATATACCTTGTATAAGGCATATTAAATATGTGATTGGTTCGAAAAAGAAAAATCGTTAAAATTTTTTTGTATCTCTGAACCCACTTAACCCCTTAAAACAGGTATTCCAAAAGCCAAATATTCACGATAATGACTAAAACTGATTTTGATGTTAAGCAATAATTTCTCTGAATGTAGCTGATGTTTGTTCTTTTAAAGAAAATATACTTGGTATCACAGGAATACATGACGTAAAAATTTTTGTTCATTCACATTGTATAATATTTGAATAAAACACGAGGAACTGCAATTGATATGACCTATCGTCACAACTTTATTTTTAGCACTGATCCAAATCCGCAAAGAGCGGCAATTAATTAAAATTCAAAAATGAAATGATAATAACTGCACATCAATAGGTCATACGCTTTGTGTAGGTGCGAAAAGATGCGCTTATACTTAATATGTAGATATGTATGTAAACTAATTAGGATTTCGGGAATAGAGCATATGCTAGCGGTGTGCATATATACAGTAGGCAGCAGTCAGCGTCGCTAATATATGTATGTAATTGCTAGGCAGTCAATAGCTGAATGCAAAGAACAAAAGAAAGAAGAAATAACGCTACAATCAGGCGATATTTATCCCATAGGCGTAGCGTATGCCAACTTAGATGGGGGATTATACCCTATACGATATTTCAATCTCGAACACACATATTATTTCTAGTGACCCCAGTTCAATCAAACTGTGATATGAGATTTGATGTTGAAAAAAGTTTTTTTTTTGTTTTTTTTTTTTTTATGTAACTCTATTTTGTTATACAGTAATCAAAAGGAAATTCTTTAATGACGGCACGATTCCTTGTTAGCAATTATTACCTACATAAAACAATTATTAAACAAGTATAAATAATACCCTGAAATCCGTACTTCAACTAATTTTTATAGGTCTTAGGTCAGATATAAACGGATGAACTCAACCCATAGCTCACCATATACCGAATATGAACTGGTCTCATATCTGTGTAAGAGCACAGGATAAAATGCATTTTGAAACATCATAAGATATCTGGAGAAACTATGTAGGTATGCATATATTTTATTTTTATACTTAAGCTATGTTATGGAACGACCTAGCGCATTGTGCAAGAACTGAAACCGCTCGACCTACTTCTATGGGCTCTTGAAAAGTTTCAAGAAAATCCAACGATTTCAAACCAAACTGTGCTCAGCGATGAGGCCCATTTCTGACTCTGTGGTTATGTAACCTAGAAAAATTTGTCACATTTGGGACGAAGATCAACCTGAAGAGATTAAAAAGCTACCATTTCTTCCAGAAAAAACAAAACGGTTTGGTTGAGCCGGTGAAATCAATCGATCAATATATCTTAAAAAATAATTCAGGTGGGAACGTGACCGTCAATAGCCGACTATTTGATACCTGAAATTGAAGCTTGTGATCTCGGCGATATGTGGTTTCAACAAGACGGCACTACTTCCCACACATCGCGTCAGTCAATATATTTATTGAGAGCACATAATTTCACGTTTTGCTCTGGTCGATTGGGCATCAAGAAGTTCATGTGTTAGCACATTGTTAGACTATTTTTCTGTGAAGATATGTAAAATTTAGGGTATATGCGGACAATCCTGCTTTGATTCAGGCCTTGGAGCCAAACATCAAGCGAGTCATTCACCAGTTACTAGCCGAAATGCACGAACGAGTCATCGAAAATTGAACTCAACGAATGGATCACCTGAGAGATAGCCGCGACCAACATTTGATAATCTTCATAATCTTCAAAAAATAAATTCCAACTGTTATTTTTTCGAATGCAAATTCAATTTGAAGTTTCTTTTGTTTTTTTTTTTAGTAGCAAACATCGAAATGGATCACCTTTTCTGTTAATTATCTGGAGGAGTGGCGCAAACGTAATTTTCCTATCAGAAGACGCTATAACTTTTGCAATTGACCTCTAATGTCAGTTCTGTTTTGACATTTGTGGAGCAAACACATGCGAAATACACGTAAATAAACAATGGTACGCTACACTGCTTCAGAACGCGGGTTATTGGTGACTACTTGTTTAACCAATAATAAGTAGTAGAGATGCTGCCAGGCGTGGCAGATCCCGGAGTAGCCATTCTGAAGCGAATATTGCTGCTACTGCCGAGGATGTCATGGAAGCGCCATCGACATCGACCAGACGACGTGCCACGCAAATGGCTATCAGTGTTTACACCGAATTTTGGTACAAGGTTTGAAAATATTTCCATACAAAGTCCAGACAGTGCTTCAGCTGTTAGCAGCTGACCGTTAATCTCATCTACGCTCAAGCCATCCTTAATCACCACCAAGAGGAAGATGATTTTTCATAAAAAAAAATAATGAGTAATAAGGCAACAACATCTTAGTGGGTACGTAAATAAGCAAAATTTTAACTTTTGGGGCACTGAAAATCCGCGTTTAACCGACGAAGAGGCATTACACCTGCTCAAAGTCACTGTATGGTGTGCTGTTTTTGCTGGAGGAGTAATCGGACCTTTTTCCTTCAAAGACAACGCGGACCAAAGCGGTGACTGTGAGTGGTGAGCGCTACAGAGCAATGATCAGCGAGTTCTTTTTACCGCAACTTGATGAATTAGAACGACATAGACTGCACGTGCCACAACCGATATGCTGAAGGATGCATTTCCCGGGCGCCTAATCTCCCGTTTTAGCGATTTGCACTGGCCAGCAAGTTCGCTGACGCTCCAGACTTCTTCTTGTGGGGCTTTTTGAAGTCGCGGGCTTATGTCAACCAGCCTCAAACTCTTGCAGCTCTTAAAGACAATATCCGTCAAGAATGTGAGGACCTATCGCAAGAAGTTCAGGCGAAAGTGATGGAAAATGCCATAAAAAGGGCTCAAATGACAATCAACTGTGGCGGCGGCAATTTACATGATATCATATTCTCGACTTGATGTAAAAAAATTTAAAAGGCCAAAAAAAAATAATCCACAAGCAGAATCAATGTTTTTCATTAAAAAAGCAATAATTACAGCTAAAAAAAAACATCGGTATATTAGAATTCAAACTTCATTATATGCCAATCAAACGATGTTCTCAACAACATCTAATGGACTTTTTGAAGATGGACGCCCACAAATACCTTAATTATCTTGCTTTGTAATTAGGTCTATGCTAAGTTATGTTTATATCATCTCCAGGATTTCTGGAAAAACTTCCTAGTATGTAACTTGCCTACAAGTGCCTCTTTTTCATATGTAAAAACGTAAAAGCGGAAAGTATTTAATTCAATTCAAATAATTTCAAAAAACTACTCACCATGCATTAGTGTACTGAGTTCAGGGCTTCTCCCCCTGTCGTTGAAAATTGTGCAAAAATTCAGTAATAGTATTAAATAATTAATATTTATTCTTCGGCGAAAGCAAAAACCACCAACACATTTGCAAAGTCAATATTTAATTTAAGTAATATAAAACTGGCACAACAAAATGCAGTATGTCATGAAAACTGTTTGCTAAGCAATAAAAACATTTATATGAAGTGTGTGATTTATTAAATTTTTTATTGGATTTCAATGGTTGACACAGCGCTTGCATGCCGCGGCAAACAGTTAGGCTGTAATGAGCTGAAAACCATCACAAAAATTTCAAATGTGTGGATTTTATTTATTACTTGCGCTCTTATTTCAAAGCTTTATAAATTACTTTATTTAATTATTATTATTTATTACAAAAAATATTACAACTAATGCGACACGCGAAAAAATGCTCGACAATGGTGCACCTATGGGAAGTATGTTTGGAAAAAAAAAAATTATTCCATATGATTTTTTATTAAAATGCTCGCATTACGCAAAGGTATTAAGTAGGTGTGTGTGTGTGTGTAAATAATATCATATTTATATATCTTTTAACTGAGGCAAATACACATTTTATTTAATCATTAAGCATATAATTGCGTTGGTTTGTTTTTCTTATTTATGACTTTTAATTAAAAATATTATTTTATCTTATTTTGCAGGCATGTTAATATCCATTTAGTTAGAGCTTTTTTTGCGTTCGTAATATCAACTGACAGTTCAAAAAGTTTATATATGAATACATGTATTATATTTAATCGCTTTACAGTGTATAATCTTAGCAAAAGTTTGACTTAAAACTAGAATTAACATTCATTGTTAGCAGCTTGGTGGCTAAAAAACAGCTGGCGCTTAAAACAAACTCAAAACACACATTTGTGTGTAGTGGTTTTTGCTACTGGATTGTCATGCTGTTTTGTTAATTGTACACTCCATTGAAATTCACATACACAAATGGCTAAGGTGGGTTGATTGATGCATAAAACTGTGTGTGAGACTGAAACCGTTGCGTACCGTCTGCCTACACGCTGGACCTACTCGCTGCTGCGAAAACGCCAACATAACCTCCAATGTGCTGCAAATAGCATTTACTTGCTTTTCATCATCATCAATTTAATTCGTTTTATGTTTACAATGCGGTTTTTTTAATTTTTTTTTTTTTGCGTTTTAGTATTTATGTACTTTTTATTACATTTAATATATGCATATATACATACATATATACACATTTAATTTTATATAAAAATCATTAAAATTAAAAGTTACTTGCGTAAACATCAAATTTAATTTATATAAAATATAACTTCTTTAAACAAATACATGTGTACAAGTGTATGCACATACAAGCATACGCGCATATGTGTATATGCATGTATGTGCGTGTGTGTGTGTGTGTGTATCAAAGCGCATACATTTAAAATCTAAATTGTCCCAATTTCCCTCGCTCATTGTGGTACACGCGTAACGGTGAATAATTAGAGCTGCCATTCAGCGCCGCGCCAGCGCTGGTGCTGCCCTGTCCGGTGCTGCCGGCCCCATTGGTGCCGTTGCTGAAATTCTGCGATGCCGAGCCGGAAATCAGCTCCTCGATATGCTGTGACTTGGCCGTGCAACGCGGCGCCAAAATCAAATTATAAATGATAAAGTAAACGAGCGCAATGATGCAAGCGGCAATCGCCAACCACTGATGGATGGCCTGCGCGTCCGCTTTCGGCTCCTTGTCGTCGCGCGCCAAACCAATGACAGCACCCAAACCCTTGCCTGTAAAAGAGCAGATGTAGTTAATGCGAGATTTTAGCAAAAGCAAGTTTAGTTGAGTTACAACAGTAAATAACAGCAGCTTTCTACAAGGTTAGGCTAGGTCGTAGGGTCATAGAATCACGAAGTGCTTTGAGTTTACCACAAATTTATTAAGTCCTATAACATCAATCGCAACCGCTACGCTTGGTCCTTCAAAGGTGTGTCTACCAAAATATTTCAAACTGAGTCTGATAAAAGCCGGGAAATATAGTTGAAAGCGATAATTCGTATAGCTTTGGCAAAGAGCGTGCGTCTAGTCAAAATCCCTACAATAAGTGTGAGATAGACGTTGCTAAATGTTAATAGGTTCGAAGTACCTTTAACGGTTCGTTTTGGGCCCGAAGAATCTCGCAGTCGCACAAGTTCTGGTTGTTGATCCTTTGCTAAGAGTAAATAGTTCATTGGACCTCTTACTGTTCACTTTGGGACCGAAGGATCTCGATCTGGTTGTTAACCAGTGTATGCCAAGCTCAGTGTAGGTTCATAAATCCAACGATAGAGCGCAAGAGGACATCGGACAACCGACTCGCTTCTAATGGTATGAAATAAGCGTAAAGATGCCCTCACTAGCAAACTCATTTCGGCTATCTAATATGAAAAACACTTGAAGCTCTTGCCAATGAAGTCATATACTCTTTGACGAGTTTTTGGAGGTTCATAAGTTTAGCCAGAGAGCGCACGGGGACAACGGACAACCGACTCTCTTCCAATAGGATGAAATTAACGTAAAAATACATTACATAGCCGCTCAGCTATATGGTTGAATATATATCTACTTTAATGACAGAGAGCGGAGATGGGTTCATGTAGAACTCCTTTTTCAAGGAATTATACTATATGTCCAATTTTATATTTTTAGTATTAAGTAAACATCATGAATATAAAAGGTCAGTTAAGTAAATAGTGATGCTCTAGGATATCTTTAGATACTTCTAGCATCTCACCGAAAGCTTTGAATACTAAGGAAATTTTCTTGATGCACAAACATTCTCCTTAAGAATACCCCTTAATATGGAATTTTTACCTCTCCTAACGCTTCACACTTTATTGTACCATATTCCGTCACCTTACTAATCTCTAGTATCATCATTTCAAAAACTTAAATGTTACTTACCAATACCGAAGAAGGCCAACACAGCCACAGCCTGTCCAGTCGCAGTTAACTTACGAGGCATTGCATGCCGCATATACAGTATAATGGTTATCCATACAACACCGATGACGACCGGCTCGATTGCCTCCATGACAACGGTCAACCATTCTGTGCCCTCGCCACTCAACGCCGTGAAACGTATGACAAAGACCGCAAAGCCGGCGATAAAGATATTCGAATGTCCACAATATTCAATGAATTTGTCCACATTGAAGAACAGCACCAACACCAAGATCAAGCCCGAATAGGTAACCGCATACGTGTCACTAAATGTCCAAATGAGGAAGCTATGTATGCTGCTCCAAAATGTGCCGAATAGTATGGCGACCAATGTAAGTACGAAAATTTCAGGACTATAACGGCGTATGGCCGACATGGGATAGACTAACATGCCGGTCTTTGTATGCCACCACCACTCGGGCGGACTGAGCGGCATTTGTGTAGCAAAGAGCAACACTAATGCACCGATGAGCAGACACACAATGACAAGTATTAGGGCCACCAGTGCAGCATCGTGTTTCGAATCGTTGGCGAAGGCAAATAAATCGATGGGCGAGAAGAGTAACACATAACCGATAGCGCCCCAGGCATATTGACGACACACCTCACCGCGTCCCTCCGACGTTTCGCGCACAGCTATAACAATGGCAGTATTGAGTAGTGTCAACGCGGCCATCACGAAGATATCGCCCAGCAAACGGATGGCAGTGTAGCCGCCCAATGTGGCATCCAAGTCCCCAGTAATCTATTTTGCGGTTGAGCCAAAGTGAGCGTTCATGTGAAAGAGTGGGGTAAGAGAAGGGAGAGAGAGATGGAAGTGGTTCGAAAAAACGAGATTAAATGAGTATGACTGACAGGTTGCAGACAAGCGGTGTGCGCGCGCGCTTCGTATTACTTACTTTAATGCATTCACTATCGGCCAATACACTGCCTTTGCTGTCGTAAGGATCAATCACTTGGCATTCAATCATCGGTTTGCATGTGGTGCCGTTCTTGATGTCGTTCATGTGCTTAATCTGTTTGAGTGGTATATTACACTGGAAGCCATCTGAAATGTGATAAACAGTATACAGGTGAATTGGTTGTCGTGACCAAGGAAATGTATGGATATTGCCAAAAATTCGTCCACCACAGTCAGTATGTATGTGCGTTCGGTAAGTGTTGGTCGCTGTTTATACTTGCAAATTGCCTGTCATTACATTTGCTCGCACGTAAATTTGTTTGCTATCGTACACATGTGCATATATGTATTTACATATGTGTGTATATAAGTTTGTAAATAAGTGTTTTGTTGTGTGATGTGTTCATTGAAGGTTATAATGATGAGGTGAGTGCCATAGTAACAGGTGATTAGTTAGTAGTTGATGACACGATTGCTGGTTGACACAGTTGTTTACAAATCACCAAATTGACACGAATATTTGTTGTTACTAATTGAAAGTGTTTGCAAAACACTTGTGACCTGGCAATTTACAACAATGCATTGATTTGTGACACCCACACATTCATATTGACTGAGGTTGGCGTTTATCAGTGCAGAGAAAGAACAACTTAAGCTGTGAATTCACAGTGAAGGGGGATTGAATTGCCGGAATTTCGAGCACATATTGATCATAATGAATTAAAATATCTATTACTATGTTTTCGTCTTTATATTGAATACCAAAATTAAATCATGTTCCCGGAGCAACTTTTAAGCGGTTAAGGGTGTTTAGAGTTTTCAACAAATTTATGCATTGCATTTCCTTAATTAATATATATATACATATATAATATTCTCTCCAACTTTGAAATAAATTTGACAAATAGTTTTCGAGTTATGCAAACTGTGCTCAGGGGCTCTGGAATGTTCATGTAAAACTTTAAATGCCTTTACCTCAAACTTTCGTTTTTTGTGTAAACTGGTGACTACTGTAGCTCGACAAGCGCTCGATTCGATTTCAATGAAATTTTTTGTAGAATATGAAAAACTAGTGCTCTAATACACCTCATTTTGTTTGTCTAATTAATTTTAGATAATCCTAGAAGGATAACCAATAGCCACCGCAAGTGGCTTCGGTTGGAAGTATCAACCCAACCAGACATTACTACTAAGATTATTAATTTTGTTTTATCAAATTTCTGTCATGTCAAGAAGAAACCTAATTTAATGATGTTTTGTTTATACTTTAATAAAATAAAATCATTTACTGACAAAAAGAATTATATAACATTATTTCCAAGTCCCTGACAATAGCTAACTCCTTAAGGGGTTCTATGGGTATACGGGTTTCAAAGAATTGAATTTATTTTCTTAAATTATCAAGCTCATCCAAAAATAATTTCGGAGACATGGTCTTGAGAACTTGTACGCTCGAGGCTAGCGCGCGTTTCCCTCGAAATTGTGTTCTTGAAGTCGGCTGGCAAGATTAAATCGAGAACTACTCAACCGATCTTCATGAAATTTTACACATCTCTTTGAGATGCAATTCTTAAAGTCGAAGGATTTTTTTTCGTTTACAACTATTTAAAAGAAAAAATTCGCGAAATTTTCACTAAAATTTTCACTTTTTCAGTTTTTTCTCGTCTAAGTTCTGAGTTAAGTTTTTCTAAAAAGCGTATTTTTTCGCTTTAGATGATCCTGTAAGGAGTTATCCTACCAACGCGAGCGCATCTTTTTCCGAGGGGCACCAGAAATGGCGTTTAAAATATTAAAATATTTATTTAAATTTTCAGAATTTCTTTGCTAATAGTCTATGTTCATAAAATAAATAATTCTATTATAATAAAATATTTCATTTCTTTTTTAAGAAAAAATTTGGAAATATAACTTGGCCTCATATAAAATGTTCACCAGTAGAATTATATTTAGAAGGCAAGTAACACAGTTTTTGTGCGCCTAAAAGTATTCTATAATATTTTTAAGATTTTGCAATGCTGTTAATATAATATTTATATTATATTATATATTAATATAAAAACCTGACCGTAACAGAACTGTTAATTGCAGAATTAGCTATGATAAACTCCCGCTGGGGAATCTTCGTATTTTAGTTAACGTCCAGGTATTAGACATTTCGGAAGAAAATTTTTAGTAAATATACAAGTCCAAATGTGTTCATCTAGAGATGGATCAATGCAAAAATAGTTGAGTCCCAATAATAGTTTTCATTGGTTCAGTGGATCGAAATAATTATTTGTGCTGTTATTATTTAACCAAAACGTACTCACCCAAAGGATACTTGCACCACTCGGCGCTGTGTGTGTCGTTATCTCTGCTGTTGTCCGCAGCACGCAATACCGAATTTACAACAATATTGTTGGTGTCATGGGTGTAGACATGACAATTCTTCACCACTGTCTCACCGCTGTCTGTCTTTTCCGTGAGACACAAATGTGGTGGCTCCACATAAATCTTCTGTGGTGTGCCATCTTTCACAGCACGCTCGACACGTTGATGTTGTTGTTGTTGTTGAACCTCAGCACTCAGCAGCTCACCGCCAAATTCAGCCGAACCAGCAATCGCGCGTCGCTCCCGCAAACTCTCCGTCGATGTCGCTACAGATTCATCTTCATAATCGAACTCGGAACTTTGTTCCGTCGACGGCAACGGTGTGGGTATACCATCAAACCATGGTGTATATAAATTCTCATATTTGGTGGGATCTTGGCAGGTGTAGGTGCAGCGTGTCAAATTCACATTGCCCACTTTCTCTTTCCAACTGTGGCAGGTGGCATCTTTGGAACAGCGTTCCTGAAATATGACTGCGCCATGCAAATCACAACCGAAACTGACAAGCGGACGACGCGCTTCCTCCCTCTTCACTTCGGGTATGGCGAAGAGACAAGCATACACAATAACGGCGAGTATCAGAAAGATGGCAGTGAGGAAGCGTAATATACGACCGAAACTTGTGGCATTCTTAGCGGCCAAACGATCGGCCAGCGGACCGGCAATTAGCGGCCCGAGTATTGAGACGAATGGCGCAATAATGCTGATTCGGCGATACTCATTGAAATTTAGGCCGAGCAGCAGTGGCTTGGTGGCATGCAGCACGTGCAGCGCGGTAATACCTGTGGCAATAAAATCAGTTGTTTAAGTGCATCAATATATTTGAAAAGTTAAATTTGTGATTGCTACTCACCACTGATGACGAAGAACACCACCGCTTTGAGCGAGATGAGAGTTTTGTTGATGCGCGGCTTGTCGCGTGTTGCGCCCATTTTGAGTTAGTTTTCGGATGTGTTGTTGTTGAAGTTTGCTTTGATTTATTATATATTTTTATAGTCGTAACTTAAACTACAGCAAATTAAATGATTGCTAATGGGTTAACAGGAGAGACTTGTTAACGGTAATTTTGAGTACTTTAAACTGGCAGGATCCGTTTAGTTTTTGTTTTCAGCAAACAACAGTCGAAATGCCTCGGAAGCAAAATTTCATAGACGGTTTTCGTTCATTGTTTCATATTTTTCATCGGAATCGTTCGGATTTTCTGCAACCAACTTGCTGGAAAAATATAAAAAGACAGGTAAATTATTTATGTAAACCGAAATAGAGTAGACATATTACAAAGTTATGGCAAGAGCTTGTATTAAAATAGAAAAAATGTTACTTTCTTAGTTAGATTACTATATTGTGACAAAAAAGCACCCAGAAATTTTCCGAAAATAATTCAATTCAAATATTTAAAAAAAAAAAGTGTAGTCCAACTTAGGTAGGACTGTCCTTCATTACTATGCCAAATATAAGCGTGACCTAACAACCAGTTTGTTTACAGCAGCTGCTTAAGTCAGTACATCTCAGTACTAAGTTGCGGTTTGAAAAAGGCTTACGATGATTTAATTTTATCAAAAACGCAAGCCTACTGGTAATACATAGCCTTCAGAGATGATTGAGAGATCGTTGAAATTGCCTCGCTCTGGACGACCTTCGGCCTCTTCAAGTGATGGAAATATTAAAAAAGTGAAGGATGGTACAGAGATGACAAGAGAGCTCGACATCTCTAGCGAGTCCGTTCGAATGATTTTGGTAGATACAAAAGAGGACCGTAAACTGGTGTCTTTAGACATGTTCTCACATTCATGGAAATCATTGTAACTGCAGTTGCGACAGGGGCCTATGAGTCAATAATCTTCGAAATCGAGGGAAAGATCGAGCCAAAACCAAACAAAAAAACCCAGAGCCGCTCAAAAATCAAGGGGATGCTCATTATTATTATTATTATTATTATTAT